GCCTCTTGTATTTGATTTTTCCATTCCATTCTTTAGATTGGGGAAATTTTATACTATTATATCATTTAAAAATTATGCATTCCTTTGGTTTGTATCTCTGCTCTTTCATCTATTCCAATGACTCTTAAATCTGGTCTTTTCATGTTACCCCATAATTCTTGGATGTTCTGTTCATGGTTTTTTACCATCTTCTCTTCATGGGCAACTCTACTTTTAAGATTATATATTTTTTCTTCATTGTCTGAGGTTCTGTCTTTCATGTGATCTACTCTGTTGGGGATGCTTTTTATTGAATTCATAATTTGGTTTACTGATTCCTTCATTTTAAGGATTTCTGCTTGTTTTTTTTTTTTTTCATGATCTCTAACTCTTTATTGAAGTAGTCTTTTATTTCCTGTATGTTCTTTGATTTCACTCCACATACTACCCTTTTTTTCACATATCAATTTATCTATATGCAATCTGAACTCCTTTTTTACTGTGTTATCAGCGGCTTCTGTTGTTCAAGTATCTTGATTTGTTTGGGACTCTTTAATTCCTTTTTTTTTCATGTTGGTAGTGTGTTTTCCCATCTAGAAGTATGGATCTAAGGTAGCATAAAATCTACCCTGTAAACTTAGAGTGTCTAGGTGTCTGAAGGTTTCCAGAGCCTCACCTTTAATGGTGAGACCAAGATCAATATTACTCAGTGTATAATATGTAGCCTTAAACCTAATAGCTCCCACTAAGGCAACTACTGCTTTCTCGCATTAAACCAAAATGATGAATTTAATAACTATAGTATAAACAGAAATTTTGTTAAAATGGTTTACAATTTCAAAGGGTGTATGAGAGAACAGACTAGTGTAGTATGTAATATTTGTGAGGGAGGAAGAGAGAAGCTGGAAGTAAAAATTCACAGGAAGAGTGGAAGGGGAGCCGACAGAGATTGGCTGTTGATTGGAGAGAAGTTGGAAAGAAAATAGCATAAAAAGCATCCTTTTCCAAATATGGTAGAAAGTTTAGTGAATAAAAAATAAAATAAATCTTTTTGGAAAGTCGAACTGTCTCTGTCAGTGTTCAACAGTTTCTCAGCTCTGACTCTGACGTCTCTTGGGATCACCAAACCCAGATCAGCCCTTGCAAACCTAGTCTCTAGCCTACAAACCTGGGTTTCAAATACCTCAGGCCCTGCCATTTGTAGTCCCAAGACCTCATTGCTGCTCCTGCTTGCAGAGAGACCACCAGGAATACACCCATGCAAACAAGCAACAACAAGAGATGAAGCAGCAATACCCATGCCACTAGCACTCTCAGCAGGAAGACCCCAGGTTCTCCAAACCCACAAGTACCCCAACACTGGACCTGCAGGTCCTGATTGGAGTCCCCAGACAGAGGGCCTTGTGGTGGTAAACCTGCTGGCACCCAGGTCCCAGTCCCTGGCTGGTATCCCAAAATGGGTTCAGCCACATGCAACCAAACCTGAAATCTCTCCTGCAGCAGTCCTCTAGGCCATGGTAGCAGCACTAGTGGCGGCTGCATTGGCAGTTACAACTGCAGCTGTGGGGGCAGCATCACCAGGTGATCTCCAGGGTCAGCAGCAATGTGGGCTTCACTTGCATCCACAGTTTCTTCTGTGGCAATAGCACCCAGAAGGAACTCCTCCAGGTGATCTCAGTCTAGCAGTAGAGAAATCAGAGGCAGCAGCAATAGCGGTAGTGGTTCAGGTGGCAGTTGAGTAACAGGAGACTTCTGGTTCAGCCGCAGTGACCATGGAGGTAGCATCAGAATCGAGTCAGGGGTAACCAGGTAGTGCCCAGAAAAGAGACCTCTGGGCACAGCAGTGGCTTCTGCAGCAGCCCAGAAAGAAGACCTTCAGGCAACCTCAGGCTGGCAGCAGTAGAATCAGAGGCAGCAGCAATTCACACATGGGTTTTTATTCTGCCATAAAGAAGAATGAAATTATGGCATTTGCTGGTAAATGGATGGAAATGGAAAATATCATGTTAAGTGAAATAAGCCATATTCAGAAAGCCAAGGGTCCAATGTTTTCTCTGGTTTGTGGAAGCTTGAGCAAAATAAGAGAGAAACAGGCAGAGGGAGCCCATGAAAATGAAAAGGGTAGGATAGGTAGGGGGCAGATGGGAAGGAAGGAGGAAGAGGGAAAGAGGGGACTGCAAAGTGCACCTGGCCAAATCGTGCTGTGCACATATAGGAATATACCACAGTGACTTTCACTATTGTGTTTATCTATAAAGCAGGAATTAAAACAATAGGTAAATAGAAGGAAGACCAGTAGAGAAGAGGAATCAGACAGGGGAAGGGAGGAAGGAAAGGAAAGGAGAAGTTCTGGGAATTGAAATGGAGCACATTAATTCCAAGCATGTATGGTTGTGTCAAAATGAATTGCAATATTATGTATGTGATAATACACTAATAAAAATATGTAAAAAAAGAAAAAGCATTCTGGGCTGGGGTTGTTGCTCAGTGGTAGAGCGCTTGCTTCACACATGCGAGGCCCTTGTTCGATCCCCAGCACCACATTAAAAATAAATAAACAAAAACAGGTATTGTATACAACTAAGAAATTTTTTTTTTTAAAAAAAACCATTCTTTGTGTAAAGAACAGGAAAACAGTTTCTTACCAGAGAAGTTTCTTGCAAATGTCTTCTTTTAGGCATAGCTTATCTTTTCTTTCTCTAGATATTATTTTTCACAGAGCCTGCAGGGATTTTAATTTTAATGGGGTGTATTGTATCAATCTTTTCTCATCAATCATACCTTTGATATAGTATCATAAAAGTCATAGCCAAATTCAACGTCATCTAGATTTTCTCCTTCTATCTTGTACAATTTTTCTAGTTTTATGTTTTACATTTAGATCTATGATCCATTTTAAATTAATGTTTGCGAAAGGGCATAGATTCATTATTTTATGTGGGTATGTCCAGTATTCTAACAGCATTTGTAGAAAAGGCTATCTTTTCTCTGTTGTGTTGCTGTCAATATTTTGTCAAAGATCAGTTGACTACATAGTTATTGCTTTGTCTGTAGGGATTTGATACTAGTATCTTCCCAGAGTCCTACATCTGTGGATGGTCAAAATCTCTTAATTAAAATTCCCTAGTATACAGCCTAAGCTCTCATATACTTTACATCATCTCTTGATTATGTTTAGTGCCTGAGAAAATGTAAGTGCTATGTAATTGAAACTGGAGTTTGAAATGAAACCAGATTCTCCACTCTGCTGGTCTGTAGGTCCACATAAGTTACATGCCTCTGCAGCTGAGAGAGCCCATTTTATTATTGCAACTACTCACAGCAGGGAAATGCCTATCTGGTCAGCTCTATGGGTCAGAGCTGACTCTTCTTCACTATTACTGAGCAGTGTATTGTAGCTCTCAATGGCAGACCTCAGCAGCTGGGTGCCATTTTTTTCCCCCCAAGGTCTTATTCACAGATTTGAAGACAAATCCACAGACAACAGAAGGCAAGAATGAAGATGTGCTATTTATATAAGTGAAAAGAAAAGAAGCAGAACTCTCAGGGGCCAGAGGGGAACCTGAGAGTAGGTTTCTCCTTAAGTGTACTAGTCTAGGGACTTAAATAGCTACTGGATGAGGCATTCATCAATATCTGTGCTAATCAGGTCTTGGAAAGATACTAAAGGTGTTGGTCAGTATCTATGCTAATCATGTCTC